AAATTGGCGATGCTATGACAGCCTTACATTCAGAGATCTTTATATGAATTTTTATGTTAGTTACGAAAGAAAGCTTTTTAATTGAGTTCTGAACGAAAATTAAAAATTCTCGTATTATAAATTTTATTCGCTGTAATAATATGCGATAATTTTATCCAATATTTAATAACGAAAAGTGTAGCTTTAAATCATTGTTAATTACGATACATATACCACTTTACAATCCCCGGCAAAAGTAATAGTGTCAGTTTTGTTTTTGAATATATTTAATGTAATTTTATAATAATAGTTAAAAAAATTTTTTCAAATAAAAGATGAATATAAATTTATTATAAACAAAATAAGCCGTGCAACGAACATGCAAGAAACAATTTCGTTTACGACGCCACTATTAAAATAAAATATAATGTTAGATCATCGTTGTCATATGATCAAAAAAAACAAAATAAAAACTTACTATAATTGTTAATCTCAAGCTCGTCTGGAAGCTCGGTAATAACCACCTCGAATCGTTCTTGAACTTTGTTCAAAATTTCAGCGTCTTCAGAATTAGCAACAAACGTGATCGCAGCACCTTTAGTTCCGAAACGTCCGGCACGTCCGACCTAATGTTTATTTAATCATGAGAACCTTATTCCATACTAAATCTTAAAAAATAATAAAATCTTACTCTATGCAAATATGTATCTGGACCGTCGGGCATGTCGTAATTGATAACAATGTTCACACGTTCGATATCAATACCACGACCAAACACATCTGTAGCTACCATGATCCTCTTCTGAAAGTCTTTGAACGACTTATATTTCGCAATTCTGAATGAATAAATAGGCAGAATTAGTTATGCCTAAAATAGAAATTACAATTGCTCCGAGTGGGTGTGATTTCTGTTTACCTTTCTTCTTGTTTCATGCCACCATGAATACAAATGCTTGGGAAGTTACAATCACAAAGAAGTTTATTTAACTCATTTGCTCTAGAAACAGATCTTACGAAAATACACACTTGATTGAATTCAAGTGTGTCTAGAAGATCATTAAGTTTGCGATTCTTAGCGGATTCTTGTAACTTCACAAAATGTTGTTGGAGGCCATGTAAAGTTAATTTCGTTTCATCGTCAACGTAGATTTCAAGTGGCTGTTAAGAATAGAATAAATAGTAAATGGTGTATTTGTTAATAAGAAAAATCAAAAAAAACCCAATAGAGTTACTTTAAGACCTACGTTTTGCATGAATTTCTTGCAAATCGGTCGAATTTCTTTGCTGAGAGTTGCACTGAACATCATGACTTGTTTATTGTGTGGAGTTTTTCTGAAGATAGCTTGGACGTCACGTCTCATATCTATATCGCATAATAATAAAATATTAGAAATGGTTAATAAACGTAAATTTAGATTTATCTTAAAACCAAAAAAAGTAATTAATAATATTTTGAATCAGAAGTTTTTATAATCTCATAAGATATTAAAACCTTAGACGAGCTGGGTTAAGCTAAAAAGTTGTCATCCTAAATTAAGGCCAAGAATAAAATCAAAATTTGTTGCAACATTTAAACTTACCAAGCTGATCCAGCATTTTGTCACATTCGTCAAGAACGAAATGTTTGACACTACCCACTTTCAGCTGACCATCATTAACCAAAGCAAGAACTCTTCCTGGTGTACCAACAACAATGTGTGGAATGGTATCCTTGCTTTGAAACTTTTTGTAATCTTCTTTAATAGGAATGCCCCCATAAAAAACATCGATCTTGACCTCAGATGTATATTTGCTAAACCGAATATATTCGTTCCTAATTTGAAATGCGAGTTCACGAGTGTGACAAAGGACAATAACCGCAACATCTCCAGGAACGGGATCCACTTGTTGAAGTGTAGCGAGCACAAATACTGCAGTTTTTCCCATTCCAGATTTGGCTTGGCAAAGGACATCCATACCGAGAATTGATTGAGGAATACATTCTTGTTGAACTAAAAATTTTTATTGATAAATGACGTTAGCAATTAATAAAACAACTTACACGTTAGAAATATAAAATTAATCGTATTATGAAAACAAATATATATATATACCTTCGGATGGATGTTCAAATCCGCAATCAACAATAGCCCGTAACAGTTCTGGCTTCAATAAGAAATCCCTAAAGCCTGTTGAGTGGATACCTACGTAACTGCCTTTTTTGTCCTTCTTATCCTCGTCAGTAGCTTCTTGGCCGTTAGCAGCTAATTGGTCGTTTGGAACAGATTCGGTCGGTATGGTTTCATCTTCCTCATCGTAGTCGATTAAGTCGTCGGGGTGGTCAGCCATTCTGAGATGATATTCTGATATACGGTAAACTTAAGTGCAAAATAAAAAGGGTGCAGATTGGCCGTTCACCATATAATGAAGAGATTTTGATGGCAGAGGTTTTAGTAACTTTGAGATATAGTAATCGTTCCACATGACACAACTCTGAATGAAACAAGGTGCCGGCCGCCATATTCTACTGCTCTTTTTGCTCATTTGCCCCTAAGGACGTGCATAACGACAAATCAAACGATATAAATACGCCTCTATTTCATATTATAGTAGCCAATCTAACTTCCATGAAGAAACCAATGGCTCTCTTTTTTTTTAGCAAAGCGAACATAAAAATTTTCATTGCCGACTTGGTAGTTGAATCTTTGATCACAAAAAAAAAAAAAAGAAAATGCTAAAAAAAGGTGCAGTGTGTGTTGTTATCGTTCATTCAACCTGGTCGTGACACATCGTTGGGTTGGCTCTGGCCGATATCGAGCACAGAGTATTGTGATTGCGAAAGCCTCAAACAAGACATAAATATGTCGTCGTTGAAAACTTTGATGCAAACAAACCATCCCTCACTTCATTCTTCAATAACCCAGACAAACAAAATAAGAAAAGACAAAAGCTGTATGTTGTCGCAAACAGTTCATCACCCTTAGGTACTGGTCCAAAGACGAGTACATGGTGATAGATCCAAACAGTCGGCAGCGAAAAGAGAACGAGACCCGAATGATTCAAACCTCCCATCATACCATAGGGGGGCAGCAAATTCTTTAAAGTCCAAAGGACTTGATATACGGCTTTGTAACATAATCTGTTTATTTTGAATGGCTCTTATTTAGCCATGAGGACCGGAGAGAGAAAGAGAGCTTTTACAAGCAAGCAGAATCGGCGGTAGTGGCATCTTCGGTCTTCTGCTCATCTCCGGTTTATACAGAGACGACATACCTTTGGATAACTTGTTTTAACGGAAACTTTGAATTTTTGTAAATTTGGTATAAACTACTTTATGGATGTATATTTTTTTTTTTTTTTTTTTTTTTTGTTCAGCTGGGTTTGCGATGTGACGT